CAATGTACTTAGTACAAAGTACTGCTAATATAAGTTAACTACATGCTTTAAGGCTAGTTTTAGGGGTACGTTTGAGGTTAATACCTAGTTATTACATAGTTCTTATAATGTAGTTAACATTTGAAGTGCATCAAATCGTTTAAAAAAAAACATGTATACACGTGAAAAGTAAATTCAACACTATTCATTTATTCATTTTCTTGTCGGCTTAGTCCCTTTATTAATCCAGGGTCGCCACAGCGGAATGAACTGCCAACTTATCCAGCAAGTTTTTACGCAGCGGATGCCCTTCCAGCCGCAACCCATCTCTGGGGAAAAAATTCAACATTATGTTCACTGTAAAAATATTGTTCCTGTCTTAAATTTTTTTGTTGGATCAAATTAACTTTTCTAGTCATCTCAACTTCCATCAATCAAACTAACAAAAAAATATTAAGTTAAAATTTGAATAGCTTAAAAATGTAGTTGAACCCTGAATAACTTAAAGCAGCATAAAATAAATTTTGTTATTACATTTTTAGTGTTGAATAAGAAGTTAAATTGAAGCTAAATTAAAAAGTCAGGCTGCCACGAGGGCTTTTCATTTTTTTAAATTGCTTTTGAAAACACTATAGGTTGGGTTTAGGAAAAAAGGAGGGTAGGCCAGTTGATCGGTCAATTACGCGAGACGGGTAGGTGTTTAAGGTCTGAAAAAGCGTACACAACGACCTGTGGTGTATTCGTGAAAACAAAAACTGCAAAAAAAAAAAAAAAACGTAGCTCCTGGGATGAGTTTTGCGCTCTTCAGAAATGTATATAGGGGTACGTTTTCAGAATGAGCCTGGGTTGAAATTTGCATTGTAAGAAAGGTGTACCACAAGGCTTAGTCTTGGGTCTCTTTTTATCAACCCAAGCTCATTCTGGAAACGTAGCCCCGCGGACGTTTCTGGAGACCGCGATTTACGTGGCCGGAGGTACGTAAAGGCTGCGTTTGGTTTTTTCCGAGCAAACGCTGCGGGGCGGTGTGGCGCCGCTCCGCCCCTCCTCTTCGCGCTCGCCGGCCGACAGCTCGCCTCCGAGTGGAGGGCTTTCTCGATGCAATCAGTTTGTCCGCTTAGCCCACAGCATTGCGTCGGCAGAACGGAGGCCCCGGAGGAGGAGCCGGCCGCGGTGGACGACGACCGGGATCAAGTCCGGGGAACAGCAGGTTCCGGAAATCAGGTAAAGACGAAAAACGGAACCCGACAAATAAGGGCGAGAACGCCGCGGGATCCGAAAACGCGGTCGAAATCGAAGACGAGGGCTTTTGCTTTTTTTTTTTTTTTTTTTCGATCCGGCGGCTTTTCGCGCGAGAACGGCGCGGGCGCGAACGCCGCACGCTCCCGAGAGGCGCCCGAGACACGAAAAAGCGCGCACAGCTCGAATACGTACCTCCCGGGATGTAAATCGCGGTCCGCAGAAACGTCCGCGGGGCTACATTTCCACAATGAGCCCGGGTTGCTTTTTATTGTTGTATTTTATTGATACTTCCCTTAATGCTATAAACTATTATTATGAAATAGAACTTATAGACCCACTGCATAACTGAAATCTGTTTCTCTTAAAGTTAAATCAGTGTTAAATAAATGTAAACGGTTTCAATCCATACATTTAATTTCAGTCAATTTCTAAAATAACTAGTATGTTGCTTAAATAATTGCATGCTTATAGACAATTGATAATCAAATGTACTTTCTTAAATTCAAAAGTAAATTATTTATCTGTAGCCGGTTTAATTAAATAAAGAAAATTAAACAGTGTTTTAAAAGGCACTTTCAAATCCGTTCTCACACGTAGTTTTCATATACACTATATTTTTTACCATGTTTTCCTTGGATGGTCGGACAAATACCACCCATGGAAAAAAATAGCATTAGTCAAAATTCAGCTTTGCTCTCTACCTTTCTGGAAAATAGATGAGGGGTATAAAATATCCATCTGGCCCGGCGCAGTCAAAGCATCCATCAGTCTAATCTCTCGTGCTATTCATAATTCTGTGAGTGCAAGGCTCAGAGCCCCACAGGCAGAACACCATTTACCTTCTCCACTTCAACGTGACCTCAAAATAAACGCTTCCCTCCCTCAGGAAGTCTGTATGAGCAGCAGAATTCATCACCCGGTCTGATATATTAGACTCGGTAGAGCCATTACCATTTATTTAAAAAATATTGTGAAGGTGAATATGAAATGCGAACATATGAAAGTATTACCATCTTTGAAAGTATAATGTTAGCATGCTTAGACTTTTAAATGAAAATTGAATATTTCTAAAATTATTTACATTATCTTTTTAAGTTGATCAAACCAGGCAACGTTTCTCCAATCTTCTATTGTCCAGTTTTGGTGAGCCTGTGTGAATTGTAGCCTCAGTTTCCTGTTCTTAGCTGACAGGAGCGGCACCCGGTGTGGTCTTCTGCTGCTGTAGCCCATCCACCTCAAGGTTGGACGTGTTGTGTGTTCAGAGATGCTCTTCTGCAGACCTTGGTTGTAACGAGTGCTTATTTGAGTTATTGTTGCCTTTCTATCAGCTGGAACCAGTCTGACCATTCTCCTCTGACCTCTGGCATCAACAAGTCATTTGCACCCACAGAACTGCCACTCACTGGATATTTTCTCCTTTTCGGACCATTCTCTGTAAACCCTAGAGATGGTTGTGCATGAAAATCCTAGTAGATCAGCAGTTTCTGAAATACTCAGACCAGCCCATCTGGCACCAATAACCATGCAACATTCAAAGTCACTCAAATCAACTTTGTTCCCCATTCTGATGGTCAGTTTGTATTGCGGCAGATCGTCTTGACCATGTCTACATGCCTAAATGCATTGGCTGATAAGAAATTTGCATTAATGAGCAGTTGGACAGGTGTACCTAATAAAATGGCCGGTGAGTGGAAGTCACTAGAATTAACAAATGTTGTACAAATACTGTACATTGTTTATGTTAGTAATTGCATTAAGTAACATTAATTATATGTCCCGTATTGTAAAGTGCGACCCAAAATTGCATGGTAAGAAAGGTGTACCTCAAGGCAAAGTCTTGGGTCTTGTTTTTACTGTTGTATTTTAATGTTGCTTCCCACATGAGATAAACCCAACGTAGGCTAATTCTGAAAACGTAGCCTTATATACATTTCTGGAGATCGCCAGAAGTACATATGGTTGCGATTTGTCTTTAAAACGAACCCTACAGGGCGGTATGAGGCCTTTTCTTTTCGCTGTATCAGCAGATCGCTTGCCTCCATATAGATGGCCGTGACAACGAGGTTTGAGTGCAGTAAAGAATGGTTCCAGAAAGCTATGGAGTTAGTTTTGGCAGTCCATTATATATATATATATATATATATATATATATATATATATATATATATATATATATATATATATATATATATAAACAATACATGTGTTCAAAAGTATGTGCACAGCTGAGACGTGCACAACTGTGTTCTCCAATGCGTCTGCATCCAGACTATGTTGGTGGACATACAGTTAATCTGACTAGACAGAGGTTAATACTAGCAGTCGTAACATAATCAGATGGGAAATGTGGATGGTAATACACAAGTTATTATACAGTTTCAGACTCAGTTAACTTACCTTCAAGAAGACCTGCTGCTCGCCATAGCTCGTCATGGAAGGCAGTCCATTCCAACCGCGCGAAAATGTAAAGGGCGTGGCCAACCTGTGACCTCAATCAAGATTTACCAATAGAATAAGGTGTTTCAGAAGATCCCGCCCACTGAGCTGCAGTTTTCAACTCGCAAAACTTTTCAACTCAAAAGCAAAGATTTTAGATCCGCAAAAATGAAACAAAACCGAAAGCAAAATTAATGAGCACACAATGAATTAATCTGGTGGTAACTGCATTAAATGGCAATAGCTTATTTTTTTCAGTGTGAATTTTTTTTAATAATTTTTTTTTTTTGTAATCTTTAATTTTTTTTAATTGCATTGTACCAAGTTTTGGTCAAAAACTTTAAACGTTTGTTTGAATAATAAAGAGACAAAATTAACCCTGGCACTCATGGGTTCAAAACATTTCAACTTACAAGCAAAACATTTCAACTTACAAGCAAAACATTTCAACCTGCAAGCAAAGATTCTAGATGTCCAATAAAAGACAGCAGAAAAGAGAGCAAAATTAATGAGTGTGCAATGAAAATAGTGGTAACTGCATAATAGGATAATTGCTTATTTTTTGCAATCCAAAGTAATTTATTATCATTGACATGAGTTTTAAAAAATAATCTTGTTTTTACTTGAAATCTTTTATTTTTTAATTACTACATACTTAATTTTTCTTTAAAACTAAATATTTTTGATTGAATAATTAAGAAACAAAATTAACTCCATAGAAAGCAGGTAAAACAAAAGCCAAAAAATATCTCGTGTTGAGATACAAAAACTCCCGGAACGTATTTCGCGATCTCCAGAAACGTCCACAGAACTACATTTCAGATTAAGCCTGGGTTGAATTGATCACTCTGACACTTATTTCAGCACTGAATCGGGACTTCTGTTATGTTTAACTTCATATTTACCAAAAAAAGTCACTAATTTCTCAAGAGACTAGCTTCCTTGTTATTTGTTTATAAATATCTGCGTGACTGTGACAATTAGTTGTGTTAAAAATGTTTAAAATAGCTGCTGACACCTATCCATAGCAATCATCGGTATAGGCATTTGTGGTATGCTTTATTATTTCTGTCATATTTAGGCACTCGGTCCATTCCCCTGCTTTAAACTTAAGCTGGCAATCAGAACACATTTCGTGCTTGGTTTATCACCACCTTCAGTCAGGACAGATATCGTTCCCCTGGTGTTTCAGCCCATGTCCGTTCTCCGTACCTCTCTAGATTTCATTCGAGAATGTAATCAGAAGAGAAGGCTTTGGACATCTCAACTCCAAATGATAGATGAGAGAGTAGTAGTCCTGAGGTTCACCACAGAGTTAATCTCCGTTAAATCCAATCACGGTGAGCTGATTGTGACTTCTTAGAGTCGTACCGACGGGCAAGTGGTATCTGAATCCATCAACCAATGCTTGCAGGCGTCAGACACGGGCTGCTTTCTTGCTTAGCGATTCCTTTCTTTTATTTTGTGCTGTGATGTACTGGGATGACATCTTGCACACCTGAGACTATAAGCTCTTGAGTGTTTATTGTTGAGGGGATGAGTGAAAGAGGAGTCTCGTTCTCCATGTAAGTACTTGGGCTGTGTTTATGTCCTTGTAAACCTGTCTGTCTTAACCCTCTGGGGTCTGAGGGTGTTTTGGGGCTCTGGAGAAGTTTTGACATGCACTGACATTTGTGTTGTTTTCAGTATCTTAACATATAAATGGCTAAAGTGTGATCACACTGTAAACAGCACAAGCTGGACATTAAGTGACCTTAACTAATATGTACTTACATAGGAATTAATAGTTTGTTACAATGTACTTATTGTGTAAATACGTGTATTTACTGTGTACTTATGCTTGATTAAATACCAGTATGTAATTACATCTGTAATTAATTTTAGTAATTACATTTGTAAATACACTGTTGACCATCCCTTACACCTTAACCCACCCTTAAACCTACCCACGCCACCAAACCTGTTCATAACCCAACCTCTATCCCAACTCAAAAGCACCACAAGTGTTCTCAAATACATTATAAACACAGTAAGTACATTGTATTGATTTTTTGATGTAAGTACATAGTAGTTAGGGACACTTAATATAAAGTGGGACCCAAAAATACCTAAGCAGCATGTTTGTATGTGTTTGTTTTTGAGAAACGTTTATGCGTGGTTAGTGAAAAACGAAAATTTTGAAGTCACTGAAACAAGGCCGTGAAACACATATAGAACATTTGTGCACAAGACTTTCGAGAACTGGATCTGGTAGTCTAGTGTTTTTGCTTCAAAATGATGTGAGAATCATCTTGTTCACTTGCTCACAGAAAACAATATAATGAATTAAAATTCTAAGTCACTTTTTAAGTGAAATTGGTTTATGCGAGAAGGCGTGAGCTATCATTACTATGCAGTGAGTCACACCTGAAGACAAAGACCTGCATAATGAGCTGCATAATGAGCCATCAGACAGGTATGTGACTAGGAGGGGAGAGATTCAAGAAGGAATCGGAGAAAAGTTTATATACTTTTTTTTGCAGTTAATTTAAAATATAGTAATCACACAAAATAACTGGGGATACTTTTGTGAGAGTCAGTACACTCTATAAAACTCTGCAAACTTTTAAACTTACACATTGCAAATCTACTGATTTTTTATTTTTATTTATTTTTTTGTAAATGAAGAGTTTAGTTGCAAAATGAGATATATCCATTTTGAGTGATATGATTCTTAAAATGGTGTTTAAAAAATGTAAAACTGCTTTTATTCATTAAAACAAAACACGTCACTATAATCTCTCGTGAGAGACTAGCTTCCTGTTACTCTCTTGTAAATCCCTGCGTGACTCTGATAATTAGTCTTGTGTTGAACCCATGTAGTTAAAGCAATCTCCAACCTGACGTGACCCAGTGGTCTGTTTGACTTGAGGAGACACATTTCAGTTAGATTTACAGGGCATAATGTTCAAATACTGTAAAACTTCCACAATCATTTACCACCAGAACGATAGACAGGACGTTTAAGCTGTCATAGGCTGTCGAGAAAAATACAAAAGAGCATCTTATATTGTATAGTTGGAATGTCTTCAGGGCGACACAGTGGCGCAGTGGGTAGCACCCAGGTCGCTGGGTCGCTGGTTTGATCCTCGGCTCAGTTGGCGTTTCTGTGTGGAGTTTGCATGTTCTCGTTCTTCGCGTGGGTTTCCTCCGGGTGCTCCGGTTTCCCCCACAGTCCAAAGACAAGCGGTACAGATGAATTGGGTAGGCTAAATTGTCCGTAGTGTATGAGTGCAACCCAAGCTCATTCTGGAAACGTAGCCCCGCGAACGTTTCTGGAGACCGCGATTTACGTGGCTGGAGGTACGTAAAGGCCGCGTTTGTTTTTTTTCGAGCGAACGCTGCGGGGCGGTGTGGCGCCGCTCCGCCCCTCCTCTTCGCGCTCGCCGGCCGACCGCTCGCCTCCGAGTGGAGGGCTTTCCCGACGCAATCAGTTTGTCCGCCTAGCTCACAGCGTTGCGTCAGCGGAGTGGAGGCCCCGGACGAGGAGGGGGAGCCGGAGCCGGTCGCGGTGGACGACAACTGGGATCGAGTCCGGTGAACAGCGGGTTCCAGAAATCAGGTAAGACGAAAAACGGAATCCGAAAAATAAGGGCGAGAACGCGGCGGGATCCGAAAACGTGGTCGAAATCGAAGACGAGGGCTTTTGCTTTTTTTTTTTTTTTTCCCCCGATCCGGCGGCTTTTCGCGCGAGAAAGGCGTGGACGCGAACGCCGCGCGCTCCCATGAGGCGCCTGCCCGAGACGCAAAAAAGACCGCACAGCGGCCTCTCGCGGATCCGCGAAAACAAAAAAACGCTCGAATACGTACCTCCCGGGACGTAAATTGCGGTCCGCAGAAACGTCCGCAGGGCTACGTTTCCACAATGAGCCCGGGTTGTATGAGTGTGTGTGTGTGTGTATGTGTGGATGTTTCCCAGAGATAGGTTATGGCTGGAAGGGCATCCGCTGCGTAAAAACTTGCTGGATAAGTTGGTGGTTCATTCCGCTGTGCCGACCCCAGATTAATAAAGGGACTAAGCCGACAAGAAAATGAATGAATGAGTGTCTTCAGGAACAGGGTTGGGAAATACTGCTCTAGAGTATCATTTCATTCTTCATATCTCCAAAAGTATCTAGTTTTATCAGATATATAAAAGAAAAGGTCCAGTGTTCTGATTCTCTCTAAAACCAGCAGAGCTCCTTGAGTGGGTTCATAGGTGGGTTGGTGCGCTTACCTTTCATACACTTATGCAGTGAATGCCAGCAAAACAAAGACATCTGATATGGTTGTGACACGGTTTTGACTCTTGACTGGGATCTTTTATCGTTGCGACTGCCACTTCAAGTTTCAAATGACCTACAGCTTTAGCTCAACTGAACAACTTCTCTGCAGCTTCTCTTCTCCATTTATTATTATGCTCATTTTGGAACTTTGCATAACAAAAATACTCAATGGAAGAACTGAGTAGGATAAACCTTATTTCTGATAAGAAAGAATGTGGATGAACTATAATAGAAAGACATTTATCTAATAAATTCAGCCATCCACATTACAAAAGTCATGTGATTTTGTGTTAACAGATTTTGTGGGAACAAAAGCAGGCACAATGGAACAGCATTAACCCACAAAGCACTGGACCGACCACATTAAAGAATTTAAAATGATGTTTTGGTCATTCTAACATCCCTCAGCCAAAGTCTGTCATCACAGTGGTTCAGTATTTTTATTATTAAATTTGTATTATTATTATTAGCTCCAGAACTGTCTTGAGCCTTGAGTGCGTCTCATGCCTCCAAAAGCCACAGCACATCTTCTGTGGTGAAAGTAACTTGTTATATAAAACAAAAGGACCACAGTGGCTTCTCCTACCGCAGCAAATTCCATCTTTCTTTTTGATACTTGGTGCAATTCGCTATTTAACACAGAAATCACTTGTGTTGGGCCTGATGCCACATTGCAACTGCTGTATGAGAGAGCCATAAATGTCTTAACTTGAAAATTTCCATGAAAACAAAATAAAAGTATACATGTTTTAATTGATTCGAGGGCAAGTAAAATGTGATTATTAAAATGTTCGAGGGAAATATTACATTTAGTACAATAACTTAAGTGGAACCTCAAGGCCATTTAGGTTCATTGTCAGTAATGCATGTATTGTAGCACATAACTTTCTGCCGACATGACACTTAAACTTGTAGTGTAATCTACTTGGAGAAGAAAAGTTTCAACCTTATTCTCAATACTTTCCTATTACTTAAATCTGAATTTAATTCCCAATTGAAGAATTTTAATCACGAGAAACAATTCCTCTCAAATATGTATTTTAACTGCACAAAAATAGTGAAATTAAATGCGTTTTGAATGTCTCTTGTAATATTCAGGAGGTCTTTCTATGGACTGTATCCCTACAAGTCAAGCATGATTGGTCTCGAGTCGCTGGCGGACCCGTCTTCTGATTGGGACATTGTGGAAACGATTGGAAAAGGAACCTATGGCAAGGTCTACAAAGTCATCAATAAGAAAGATGGAAGTCAAGCCGCCGTGAAAGTTTTGGATCCCATTAATGTGAGTCGTTGCTGAGAATTTTTGATATTTTGTTCAGTTTTGGAACATGGAACTTGCTTCATCCATGATTTTTACCCCATTTTCATAGGTTTTTTTGTTCTCTTGTGAATTATTTTAATAGTGTAGACGGAGCAGGATTTTTTGAAAATCCTTTCGTGTCAATACAAGTAACTTTTAGCACTGCTCGCTACACTCAAGTGAAATCATTTAAGATGTAATATTCAACCCAGGCTCATTCTGGAAACGTAGTCCTGCGGACGTTTCTGGAGACCGCGGAATACGTCCTGGCGGGTACGTACGGCTGCAGTTTTTGTTTTTGCGAATCCGCGAGAGGCCGCTGTTGTGCACTTTTTCGCATCTTAAACGCCTCTCGCGAGTGCAGTTCGCGCCCGCGCTTTTCTCGCGTGAACCCACCAGAGGCCGCTGTCCGACTGACCGGATGATTGACTGCGCGACCGGCCAATCGGCTGACCTGCCCTCCTCCTTCCCTAAACCCAACCAATTTTACCGATCGACCCGCCCACCCACTCACTTCCCTAAACCCGAGCAACAGTTTACAAAAGCCGTCCAAAAAAAAGAAAAGCACTGATTTTTTTTTTCTACCGCGTTTTCGGATTTCACCACATTCTCACCCTGTTATGAAACTCGTTCACTTAATTTTTGGGATTCTGTTTTTGTCTTACCTGATTGCTGGAACCGCTCTTCCCCGGATTCGAAACCGATCGCCGTGGTCAACTCCTCTCTGCATCTCGAGCCTGCCGACATACATAGTGAGCTGAGTGGACAAACGGGTTGCAGCGGGAAAGCCCTCCACAAGGAGATAAGCGGTCGGTCGGCTGGCCGGCAAGCGCGAAATGGAACAGCGTCACACCGCCCGTAGCATTCGCTTGAAAAAAATAAATGCAGCCGTACGTACCTCCCGGGACGTATTCGCTGTCTCCAGAAACGTCCCGGTACTACGTTATCAGAATGAGCTTGGGTTGGTAATATTCTTAACAGTATTTACACTGATTTAAAGAAAACAGAGCAAAACAATCTTTAAAGATCTTTCTTCTCTTGTTCTCTGGCTTGTCTCAGAATCCCAGTCACACTAACAGAGTAAGTAGAAGTTCTTCCTGAATCCCACCCCTCCAGTTGATTTCTGTTCATTTTCTTTTGCAAAACTTGTCGGGATGTTTTATATTTTAATGTCTAACCCCTATGACAGGGGTCACTAATCTCGGTCCTAGAGGTCCGATGTCCCTGCAGGGTTTAGCTCCAACCCTCCTCAACACACCTGCCTGGATGTTTCAAGTATACCTAGCAAGACCTTGATTAGCTTGTTCAGGTGTGTTTGATTAGGGTTGGAGCTAAAATCTGCAGGACACCGGCCCTCCAGGAACAAGTTCGGTGACCACTGCCCTATTATAACCCCTAGTGTTGTATGACGTCATTAGTGCCGCTTGATCCCCCATTATCCCCTACTGCACAGTACATGCATGGCTGTTTTCATGCACGTAAGCTTGGGAGCATTTTACTGACTCTGGCGTTAAATGATCAGCAATCATTTCTTGCTTCATTTAAAGGGCAGTTGTTCATGTACTTGATTATACAATCTAACAGGAACACCATGTAATTTCATATAATTAATTTTATGAATCCATCTACATTATATACAGGATGCTGTTTTGCGTATTAACATATATGATTAAAACGGTTGTGCTATTGATTGTGTCAGGATGTGGACGAGGAAATTGAAGCAGAATACAACATCCTTCGCTCCTTGTCCAACCATCCCAATGTTGTGAAGTTCTTTGGCATGTTCTACAAAGCAGATGAGCTCTCCGGAGGGCAGCTATGGCTTGTTTTGGAGGTATTTTCTGCTTTTTTTTATGTACGTGCTCTAGCTGACAAAAGTCTTGTCATCGATCCCAGTTGTAATAACTTAAATAATAACTTTAAGTGGCAGAAGGATGATTTTATTCAGATGAATCATATGATGAATTGTATCCCAATCGTAACAAATACTGCAGAAGACCTGTTGGAACTCGCATGAACACAAGATTGTCACAAAAATCTGTCAAGTTTGGTAAAGGAAAAATCATGGTTTTGGATTATTAATTATGAGGGTGTGCGAGAGATCTGCAGAGTGAATGACAACCTCAACAGTCTGAGGTATCAAGACATTTGTGCTGCCTTTACATTACAAACCACATTCTTTTCCCACTGCAGCATGACTTTATATTCTATACTGTACATTCATTTTTGTTTAGTGACAAAACTTTTATCTAAGCAAAGTCAGACAGTACTGTCCTACTTAAATAATAACAAATCAAGACATGATCATATTTTATTTATATAAAATAAGCGTAATCTAGAGGCCTTTGCCTTCCATTTAAGCCACTTCTGATGCCAAATGATCAACTACAAGTCAAGTGTTGTTGTTCCTAAAACTTGGATAGGCAATAAGACTTTTGTCAGGTCTGTCCTAATAGCTAGCAGGTTACACTAGAGAACAATGTACAAAAGGCAACTCTTAATTCTGTTTAGACCATTAAACATTGTAATTGTGAAGCTTAGTTAGTTATAAAACTTAATAAAATCGCATAGTGAGAAAGGTGTACCACTGGGCTCAGTCTTGGGTCCTTTTTTATTGTTATAAATGCTTCCAAAAAATCATAACAACAAATGTTTTTGTTTATTTAACTTTTTAATAAGTTAATAAGGTTTCAACTATTTTAGTTATACAAAGCTTAATATATTTAGTCATTTTGATTGATGTAAGTTGAGATAAAATGTTTTACAGTGTAATGACCTTATTCTAAAATGTGGAAGTGCGCCTGTTTTCGCGATTGTTTTAGAACTTCCTATTCAGTCGCCTACGGGAGAAATGACTAGGTATAATAAACGGCAGAAAACAGTCAAACTACTTGCTCAACAAACAAATGTTTGCATGACTAAATAGACCAAGTAGATTAAAATAATAAGGAAATATCAGTTTGCAACATCAAACAGCGAAACAAGCAGTTTTTAATGTCTAAAAATGTACGGATGTGAATGAGACCGGAAGTCTCAAGCCAAAAAGATTCAAATGGCTGCGCCCGCTCATCAGCGAATAATAAGGTGAATAGACCTATAATGAAAATAAGTATGGCTTATAAAGTAGCATAGACAATATATTATGTAGTATACATAGTGCCTGTGAATGTTTGTACACACACAGATGTCTGTGACTTAAGTATTGGCAATTCTACAAGTGATCAAGTCACTTACATTTTTATGGCCAAGTTAGAAGAACAAATACATAAGGAATTGATATTACAACATGTCAGCATTAAATCATGGCTTCTTTACATTTAAAAAACAAAAAACAAAAAAAGTCTACATAAAATAGTTCCTCGGAGATTTGTATTGCTAGTATCCGCTTATGTCCTGAAACATAATCCCTACTAAATCCCTACTCTATGTCAAGTGAGAATCTCTAAGATCTGATTTTGTGCACTATTCATTTAAAGGCACACTTTTAAGCCAAGCTTTTGAAACTCATTTTGGAGTGCTATTTCTACGCTCATGGTGTCACAGACACAAGTATTTGAATGATTCATAGACTATGGAATTACTGTCTGGCCAACTCAGATTTTGGTGTTGAGAAATATGTACAATCATTATTTTTGGGTGGAATTACAGGTCACGTGTTGAGAGTGGGCCTACTCACACTATGCTATGCGAACTGTGCCCAGGCCCGTTTTCTGGATAGTTTGAGAAGTGTGAGTGCTCTGAATGGTTTGAGAAGTGAATCGTGCTCAGTACGGTTTACTTGGCCGGCCATGGCGCAGTTGGAAGAGGTGTGCCTGAGCGCGGTTCACTTGGGCTTTGGCGCGGTACGCTTGTGTGTGTGTGTGCAAAACGCGCCTAAGCCCGAAACTGAAATTGAGACGTGACTTTTAAGGGACTGTTTCATATGGATTAATTAATCGTTACTGTTTAGTGAACGCAACTTGTCATAGTGCAAACCCCTCACTGCATGACAGCTGCACCTTCAGCAAACCGCCTAATTCCTGCAGCACGAGACCTTTATGGTTGTTTTTGAGCATAAATAGTGGCTGATCTGTTCGACAAAATATCTGACAGCGTGTCATTGCAAATCAAACGACTTATAACTAAAGACATCTCCACTGTGCTCCACTGTGCCGAGCAAAAAGCACTTACTGAAAGCATTGATGACGTAATCGTGCCCAGGCCTGAATGTAATGTGAGTGCGGGCCATGGGGGGAGATGAGAGAGAGGACAAGCGTGCTTTGGCCCAGTTCAAGGCAACTGTACATAGTGTGAGTACGCCCTTTAGACTGGTTAAAAACTGTGGCATAGCGGACGAGCAGGGTGGGCGGGGCATGCACTGCGGGGGGTATTAGTACATATAAAGTACATATTCTGCATGATCTTAATCTGCATCCCTGTCCAATACCCAATCCTAACTACCACCATAATAAACAGGCTAATCAATAAGCAGTGAAATAGGAGTCTGATGCACAAGTCGTGGTTAATAGCGTGAATTACACCTTAAAATAAAAAGTGACCCTATAGGTTTTACAAGTACACTGACAGGTTTCTTAAAAGAAACGCAGCGTGGTTTGTTTTATTAGCTTATGAATTATAAAAAGTGCTGAAGTCTTACTAATGTACTTTCTGTTGTTTGGTTTTTCTCATTTCTTCTCTCTCTCTCCTTTTCATCATTGCTTTCGCTCTCTGGCATTTCTCTCTTTAGTTGTGTAATGGAGGTTCAGTTACTGACCTGATAAAGGGTTTGCTGATGAGGGGAAAACGTCTCGAGGAGCCCATCATCTCCTACATCCTGTGTGGAGCGCTGCTGGTACGACACACACACACACAGAAGTAATCTGCTCACCCTGCACAGGGATCGCTGCCTCAGCTCTCTGACCGTGCCAGAGTAGTTATTTTGGGCTGTGATCTTGAGGAGAGCTTTAAATATTTCTCTGCTTCATTCTCAGGGTCTCCAGCATCTTCACAATAACCGAATCATCCACCGTGATGTGAAGGGCAACAACATCCTCCTCACCACTGACGGTGGAGTCAAACTGGTGGACTTCGGTAATACTTGACGCCGTTTCTCTGCAGAGAGGACCATTTAATTTAGATTTATTGGTGTATTATTAATATTATTACTCTTTTTTTAATCTAAACAATTACAATAACGCGTCAACGCTTCCCATTCACTTTGAATGGGTGACGTCAGGCGTTGCCATACTGCATTGTGGATCCGTCGACGCCGCTTCAGAGGCGTTGCTCGCTGCAGAAGTTGGGACTAGCTCAACTTTTCAAGCGCCAACGGAAGCGTCAGCCAATCAGATCGCTGTATGCAAATACACCAGCTAGACAGTGGCCTATTGCTGACTGAATTTCATTGGCTGACGCTTCTATGACGATCGCTTCAGCCCCAACTTCAGACACGCCTTCAGTCAAGCGTTGACGCTGAAGCCCCGTGTGAGAGGGGCGTAAGCAGTAACCAAGCTGGTCAAGATCCAAAATGGCCACATGTAATTTCTGAATTGATGCGATTTGGGTTTAGATTTTTAATGTGTTTTAAAAATGTTATTTATTCGTGAATTTTTTATTATTTATTATTATTATGCTATAAAAAATGTTGGCTTCCACACAACCAATTTGTGTTTGGACAACATGAACGAATTAAGCTTATTCATTTTTATAAATTTAGGTGGATAAACTTTAAACAATAAAACAAAACTTAATAATTGTGTTATTTCAGATCATTTTAAATAAGTAGTTGGAACAAACGGCAACCATATTTTTTATTGTAATTTTTATGCATAATAATAATAATGTTTAATGAACAGTATGCTAATCCTCAACTGTGAATCTGAGTTGTCAGCAAATTCAATGGTTCTAAATTGAGGTGGAGCGTTCAGACGTGTGTGTGCGTTATCAGACACACCCTCACACACACCCTAGGCTGATCAGTGAAAGAGGTTAAATGGTGTTCTGCATAGAAAAGTGTGTGTAAGGGGGAAAAAGGGGTGTGTGTGCCTGAGGCGTGTTTGTCCCAAGTGCACGAGAGAAAGAAGTGGATCCCTGCTGGGAAGCAAAATGCCTGTAATCACGTAACGCTGATGAATTCAGACGCTGCTCCCTGTCACGTCGGATTATCTGCCAGCTCCTAAAAATCTGATTTATACTCAAGGCTTAGAAGGATTCTTTTAAAATGTATTTCACTACAGATTTACAAAATGTATGGTTTAATAGCTTATTAGTAATGTATTTTATGAATATGCTGCAAAAAAGCTTTACTTAGAATTTTGTCTTGTTTCTAGTCCAAGTATCTAAAAACTCTTAAATCAAGAAGCATTTTGTAGACACACAGAAAATATTGTCTTGTTTTCAGAAGTAATATGTATAAATTAAGGAAGTTTTTCCGTAAAACAAGCAAAATAATCTACCTAATGGGGTAAATAATTTTTTTTTGTAGATATTTGGAGTAAAAAAAGGACAAAAACTCTAACATTGTGTCCTAACTATATGAACAACGTGATAAAATCTATCTTTTAGATGTTAAAATTAGCTTCAGTCCTAACCCAGTGGTTCTCAAACTTTTTTCACCAAGTACCAAAAAAATCGTCTCTCCAAGTACCACCATACCGACAAGTATTGAAATACAGTAGCGTAGTAGGCCTAGTAAAGGAGCTGAAGCTCTGTTCAGTTCAAAAACAAGGCAGATTAATTCCTATTATTAGGAATATTTATTACTGTCAGCCACTTTAAACATTATAACTAGTTTAAACATTAACACTGCACTGTGCTTATATGTAAAACAAACAAACAAACTAACTAACTAAAAACGTTAACATTTAAACTTAAATGTGTTTTTCAAAGTTAAAATAGTAGGTTACTGTTTTTAAAAAGTAAAAAAAAAACTTAAATGTAAAGTATTAAAATATAGTAGCCTATTTATCAACACCTGGAAATATTGCCTGATCCTCTTAAATACAGGCTATATGTCACCATATTCATATATAAATAATTTTTGATACATTTTAAAATATATAGCATGTAAATATGATATATTTGATTCCTCTGCGTACCACTAGAAGGAAGCCCGCTTACCACAGTTTGAAAGCCACTGTCCTAACCGTTTGCGATGACGATGCACAAAATTTCTATTTAAGAAATGTTTTCTATTAACGTAACGTCGCAGCAGAACAACAGCAGAAACTACTTTAATCATGATCACCTCAGGTACTGATTAGGGGCTTTATTCAATGTTAAATGCTACCAATGTGAGTTTAAATAACATTTCACATGATATTTATTGCATTCCTGAAGGCAGCAGCAGAGAGTTCACCTCAGATCTTGAAAAAAAATGACTAGCAGACGGTTTGAAAATGAAAGAAAGAACTGTGACAAACAACAGTCACTCGGTAGCCTGTTAATAATGTTAAAAAGGTGTAATATGTATTTATTAGATTAAATGCTTTTACTATTTTGCTGGGAGTGCAATAACTAATGTTTAAATGTTTCTGTCATTTTGCATCGCTTTTGGTGCAGACAACCAAATCGTTTGTTGCTGGGATCTTATTACGATGTGTGTTGTTAGGACCAGGGCCAGAGCAAGATAAACTGGCGCTCTAAAAAAAACAACGGTCACGCCGGCCTGAACTCGAAAGTAAAAATGGAAGTAACCGTTTCGCGAAGTGAAGACTGTGGGGGGTTGTCTGGGGTTAGAGTGGTGGTGGTTTGGTGTCACGGATTAAAGTGAAGACCGGTTGTGGGGAGGGAGCTGGTTGAGCTGGGGGGGAGGTCGTGGATAAAAGTGAGGACCGGGTATGGGAGAGCTGGTTGTCGTGGATGAAAGTGAAGACCGGGGGTAGGGGATGTTACAGATGAAAGTTGAAAATGAGGACCGAAAACTTTTTTTTGTTGTTGCTGTTTTATGCTGCATCCTTAATTTCAAATCAAATCCAAACATAGCATAAAAATAGCAACAGCACCTATCAGAGTTCTTCAAATCATACAACTGTTATACTTGTTTAATAAATGAGCCAAACTTTAAGCATAGTAGTGAGCTTTTTTTAACAAATTTGTTTCGAGATTATGCGCACAAGTTGCTAATTTTTTAACTGTTGCCATATTGGTTTAAATCCCAGTGTTTACTTAATTGTTAAAATTAAGAAATTACATCATTCAGAGTAATCACTTTGGTAATCTTAAATCAGGCGTGTCCAAACTACGGCCCGCGGGCCATCTGCGGCCCGCAATCAGTTTTGTGGCGGCCCGCAAGGCTTTTTATAAATATCAATAGAAACTGTCCCGCTATACAAAAATGAATGCATTCAATTAAGCAGCAGTTCTTGTTATGATCTATCTATCTATCTATCTATCTATCTATCTATCTATCTATCTATCTATCTATCTTTCTATCTATCTATCTATCTATCTATCTATCTATCTATCTATCTATCTATCTATCTATCTATCTATCTATCTATCTACACACAGTTGAAGTCTGAATTATTAGCCCCTCTTTGATTTATTTCTTCTTTTTTAAATATTTCCCAAATGATGTTTAACAGAGCAAGGACATTTTCACAGTATGTCTGATAATATTTTTTCTTCTGGAGAAAGACTTATTTGTTGTATTTCGGCTAGAATAAAAGCGGTTTTAATTTTTTTATGAACCATTTAAGGTCAAAATTATTAGCCCCTTAAGTCTTCAGAACAAACCATTGTAATAAAATAACTTGCCTAATTACCTTAACTTGTTAACTTGATTAACCTAGTTAAGCCTTTAAATGTCACTTTAAGCTGTATAGAAGTGTCTTAAATATATCTAGTCAAATATTATTTACTATCATCATGGCAAAGATAAAATAAATTAGTTATTAGAAATGAGTTACTAAAACTAATATGTTTAGAAATGTGTGGAAAAAAATCTTCTCTCCGTTAAACAGAAATTGGGGAAAAAATAAACGGGGGCTAACAATTCTGATTTCAACTGTATATATATATATATATATATATATATATATATATATATATATATATATATATATATATATATATATATATATATATATATATATATATATATATACGCGTGTCTGTGTGATGTGTGTAAAATTTGGCCCCCGACAACGTTGTTTTTTTTGCATCTGGCCCTTGGCCCAAAAAGTTTGGACACCCCTGTCTTAAATACTTTACAGAATTTTTTTTTTGTAAATCTAGTTTGATTAATATATGATTAAAATGTATATGCAATTAAATACTTTTTAAAAAATACACAAAACAATGCATTTGATTTGTTACTCCCTATTCCTGCTTATACTTGTGCAATTGTTGCTTATAATTATCACGTTTTAAAATTTTTAGTTAAAATAAAATAACATGCAATGAAAATGAGGGAAATTATTCTGATCATTTTTTCTTTCAGGTGTCTCAGCTCAGTTGACAAGTGCCCGTTTGCGCCGAAACACATCAGTGGGAACCCCATTCTGGATGGCTCCTGAGGTCTGTACTGTCATGATTTTACAATATAAGGGAATCGATCAGTTTCGTTTGTTGATTCTGAGTTGACATCATCTGAAGGGCTAGCATATTTTCTATAGTCACCTGAAAGCTTTTAAAGAGACTCTATTTACACTCTTGTTGCCGCATGATTAATATCCTGAGGTAGAAACTGAAAAGCAAACAGAGTAGGGTATAACTAGTGTATCTGTTGCATAGCATTCAGATACAATTGAAGTATAAGATACAATTTTTTGAGTTCTTGGCTATAATAGATGTGTTTTCAATGTTGATTTAAACTGGGGGAGTGTTTAGAGTTTAGGAGAGAAGTGCAGACATTGCTTTATACATTCTGGAGTGGACTTTGCTATTGTAGTCATTACCAGAATCTCTGAGTTTTGCAGCATTATTGTGATAAAGGACTGGTTGAATACACAGGAGTCACAGTAATCAATACAGAGCTTAATTCGTAACCAGTGTAAAGATGGTAAAACCGAGGCAATGTGCTTTTAATAAATGAATCATATTTTAAGAGCTCTGTCAACCCTTGTTTATTGACAATATAGGATAAGCAACTAGGTGTGGATTAGAGTAATCTAGTCTAGAGGTCATAAAGGCATGAACTAGCTTTTCTGTATCAGAATAACATTCTGTAGCCTGCTTTTGTTGTACAAAAGGTTTTTGTAATCTATGAAATATGATTTTCAAAACACCAGCAGCTGTGTAATGTAACACTCAGCTCTTTGACCTTACAGAAAGAAGTTACCATACATCATTAACCTGTAGATTTCAGTGTGTATTCCATTCAGCATCTGTATAATTGTATATAAGAAATTTACTGGATATCCAATCTTTATATTTTTAACACACTGAGTTAAATTAATAAGGGAATTTAACCTGCTGAGTATCCTCAGCATAACATTGGAAAATAATTCAATTTTTTTTTTTGTTTTGCAATTATCGTATGAATGGGCAACATACTGTATATTCAACAAATCTCACGACAATTTGTATCTTTTTTCATTTAGTGGCTAATTCGTATGAATTCGTACGATCTAATTCGTACAATGTAGTACGATTTGATCATCCCCCAATGACGGTTGGGTTTAGGGGTGGGGTTAGGTGCCACGCCTCCTTTTTAAAATCGTACAATTTTGTATGACTGAACTCGTACGAATTAGCCACTAAACTGGCAAAACGTAAAATACTTATGTTTTCTCGTGAGATCAGGCTGGTACATTTTGAAAGTACCAGGGGGCCTAAGGCAGTTCCCTGTAGCACTCCATATTCTACTAAGATTAACATAAATCAAAGTCCCTTTAAGACAAGTCGTTTCACTTGGCAGCCATCCTTGAAACGCTGCTCAGGCATTCAATCTAAATGGGAAAACATCAAATTGTCTGAGTAGTTGCTGCTGTCATGTGATGTGCACTTGACAGGACACACTGTGCCCGGCGTTTTCTGTGCGTTTAGTTCATTTAAAAGGACAAATTTCAAGCTTTATTTGGATATAAATCTCATGTCTATGAAGCAAATATTTGCTGAAATTCCAGTGTGTTTGTTGACCACAAAAACTTTTAGTCTCTAACGATTGGTGATTGGCTCCTGTACTAGTAGGCGGGGCTTCATTCACCATAGTTACCGTTTTAAAACTATACGAGTGATACGTCTTGTGTATTCTAGAGTCTTTGCTTGGATCATTCCCTGTTTGAGTAAACAAAATAGTAATCGTTACCCAAATAGGATTTAAACGATCCTAAACCCTGTCCAAAAATTTCAGTATAATTCAGTAATCAATATATGATTATTATCCATAATATTGAGACAAGACACTTCTGCTTCAGGTAATAACTCTTTTTTTTTTTTAATGATTATTAATTTAGTGGCAGCAGAGTCTAATAAACATGTTGATTTAGATGCAGTCATAAATGTCTCTCTTTCTATACTATAGCTGTAAAACACTAGATTTTTGCTGCAGCTGAATTGGAAATGCTGGCAAAGGTTCTACATTTGTAATTGTATGTCTGATGCTTTTGATTTTCTCAGCGGGTAATTTATCAAGTCATTACCGCTAAACTGAATTGGAGTATTTGGTTAGTGGCGACTCACTATTTCTTAGCTGTTATGCTAAATAAAAACCCCAGGCTTTATTGCTTATTCTCGGCAAAAGTCTGCAGTGATTCTTGACCCTGGTAGCTTTTAAAGCCTGTCGAAAACTAGATGTAAAGTGTCTTCATTTGTGCTCAAGGGTACTTGGTTCTCTATTGAGAATGTGAGTGTTTTTTTATTGTTATTATTTTAAAATCTGACGGGGCAACTGACATACTCATGAAATATTACCTGTTCTCATTGCTTAATTTGAGCTCAGATGTTAGTGTTTTACAATAAAGTATTTATTTTAATTGATCCGGCATTAACTTTTGCATGGTGTATACCTGTATTTCTGTGTGTGTGTGTGTGTGTGTGAGAGAGAGAGATAGAATGTGAATTACTCTGAGTGAACAACAGCGATATATATATATATATATATATATATATATATATATATATATATATATATATATATATATATATATATATATATATATAGCTTAAGAGGGCTAATAAATAATTAAAAAAAAGATTTTTAAGAAAAAAAAAAATATATATATGTATATATATATGTATATATATGTATATATGTGTATATATATGTATATATATGTGTGTGTGTGTGTATATATATATATATATATATATATATGTATATATATATATATATATATATATATATATATATATATATATATATATATATATACATACATACATACATACATACATACATACATACATACATACATACATACACATATATATATATTTATATATATATATATATATATTTATATATATATATATATATATATATATATATATATATATATATATATATATATATATATATATGTATATATATATATATACATACATATATATACACATATATATTGCTTAAGAGGGCTTATAAATAAATAAAAAATATTTTTAAGAAATTTTAAAAAATTATATATATATATATATATATATATATATATATATATATATATATATATATATATATATATATATATATATATATATATATATATATATTGCTTAAGAGGACTAATAAATAATAATAAAATGATTTTTAAAAAATTACAAACTGCTCTTATTCTAGTTGAAATAAAACAAATAAGACTTTCTCCAGAAGAAAAAAAATGTTATCGAAATTACTGTAAAAATGTCCTTGCTCCATTAAATATATCTAAATAGAAATATCTGAAAAACTCTCATTTATAGCCTTACATGTACATAATCTGTTTTTCCTTTAATCTGTGTGATTCTGATTCTGGACAGCTTTGTGGAAAAATTGTGTGTCAACTCTGAATATTTGTGTGTGCATTTGTGTGTTTGGGTCAAGTGAAGGTTAATAGCTGTATGGTGCTCTGAGGAAATGAAATAATGGAGCCAGTGGGGGAGGCCCCTAAGGGCCAATTAAATTACAGTCTAAATGAAATGTTCAGTAATAAGCCAGCTGACCACAGTGTTTCTGACAAACAATGCTGGAGAATAACACAGTGTAATAGTTGTGATTATTAAAGTATTATTATTATTTATTTGTTATAATACATTTTTATATGGAGTGATTGTAAAGGCTGATTTAGACTTGTGTATGGTCCGGCGCAGCCATTGCATGGTCACATACCCCTTGCCGTGGCTATGACGCGTAGCTCAAGCTCTGTGATCGGTCGGCTAGGTAGCACTGACGATTGTATGCAGGGATGAGAGCTCTGAGCTTGTTGGAGCGAGTGTTTACAAGTATCCAGTCCCTTGAAGGAGCTCCAGATGAAAACTTTTGTTTTGTGATTACTTTATGGTTTAAGACAGGGGTGTCAAACTCAATTCCTGAAGAGCCCTGCACAGTTTAGTTCCAACCCTGCTCCAACACACTTACCTGTAGGTTTCAAACAAGCCTGAAGGACTCAATTAGTTTGATCAGGTGTGTTTAATTAGGGTTGGAATTAAACTGTGCAGAGCTGCGGCCCTTTTGGAACTGAGTTTGACACCTGTGGTTTGAGCCGTCGATGTCAGAAATTAAAAATAAGATGAAAGTCTGGGAATTTGACATTTGGCGCAAATCAAAAACATAAATCAAAATGCATCAAAAATGCGTGAAAATTGTGTTAGTCTGAAACTCTAAACAAGATTTGTGAGAATACCATTGTATCCCATGCCCATTTAATCTAAATGCCATCGCATAAACTTGATCCCTATGGTGAGCTTTGTTTTGTGTTGACGGTGAATATCTTGTGTTCATGATTCCTCTTTGGTTGTCTGTGTGCAGGTGATAGCGTGTGAACAGCAGTATGACTACTCGTATGACGCCCGCTGTGATGTGTGGTCGCTGGGCATCACTGCTATAGAGCTGGCAGACGGAGACCCACCACTGGCAGAGATGCACCCGGTCAAAGCACTCTTCAAAATACCACGGTAAGACAGCAGGGGGAGCTAAACACACACAACACTCACAAAACTCAGAGGGAAAAGTGAGAGACTGAGGGAAAAGTGGGATATGGGAATGTCATGGATGAGAAGGAAAGATAGCAAATGTCACCTGCATACTCATTGAAACACTTGAATCAGAGATTGAGGTTTATGAAACTTACTGAAATTCAGAAAATATTTTTTTATTCAGCCAAGCACAGTGATATTTCCTACAGACCCAACATTAAATATAAAAAATATATATTTTCTTACAGTTTTTGTCTTGTTTTGAGTGCAAATATCAAAACATTTTTCAATCAAGATACATTTTCTAGACGAGCAAAAAAAAAAAGTATAGTCTTGTTTTCTAAAATAGTAATATGAATCAAAATTTAGTTGTTTTTTTTTAATAAGCAAAATAATTGAGACGCTGCTCGCTGCAGAGCCACTTGGGCTCCAACAAAGGGGAGCTTGAGCAGTGAGTACCACTTGAAATAATCTGCCAATGGGGTAAGTGAAATATTCGGTAACACTTTATATTAACTACACACTATAAATCATTTATTAAGCATTAGCTCAGTGGTTTTCAAAGTGTGAGGCGCCTCCCCAGGGGGGCGCCAGAGCATGTCAGGGGAGGCGCGGGAAAAAATATTATATAATAAAAATATAATTATTAAGTTTAATTATTATATGTATTTATTATTTTTTTTAAAACGTTTTAATTAAACAAAGCTAAAAAAAAAATACGTCAAAAATAAGAAAACCTTTTTTACCCAGAATGCCATAGCTGTGAATTCGCTTCTGTTTGGCAAGCCCGCCAATACAGGTATATGCCTGCTAATCATGCTGCTAATACAATGGATCGGTTTTTGAGACCCCCTGATTCAAAGCCTTCAAGTTTAGGGCTTAAACCCAAAAGACAACGATATGATGGTCAGTATTTGAGTTTAGGATTTTGTGGACAGGACCAGCTGATAAACCACGACCTTTATGTGTGGTTTGTCAAGATATTTTGACCAATGACAGCATGAGACCCGCTAAACTTCGGCGACACCTTGAAACCAAGCATGATAAGGTAGCAGAAAAACCTCCAGATTTGTGTGTGTGTGTGTGTGTGTGTGTGTGTGCGTGTGTGTGCGTGTGTGTGTGTGTGTGTGTGCACGCGCGTGTGTGCGTGCGTGTTTGGAAGGAGGGGGCCGCCAATGGATAAGTTGTGTCAAAAGGGAGGCCCACTGTCTTAGACTTTGAAAAACCCTGCATTAGCTAATAGTGAATTCATGATCATGATATGCATTAATTCTACATTAATAAGCATTAGTAAGCAGTTTATAACTGCAGCTACAAATGCTCTATTCTTGACTTATAAGCACTTTCATAATGTGTTTAATAATTGTATTTTCATACTTAGTTAATGATTTATTTTTCATGAATAAATTAAGCATTACATTATTTACAAACCAGTTGTATTTAGAAGTAGTTGAGGGTTTTTAGGATCATTCAGAATGAGTTAGTAAATGATTAATAAACTATTGAAATCAACATTTTTATAGCTTATTATTCAGGCATATAGTAATGGTTACTATGTATGTTAATAAATACTTTATTAAGTCAACTTCATCTAGTTTTGTGACCTAATATAAAGTGAGGACTATTTATGTTTTATAAATCCTTTATATGATAAATAAAGGCTCAGTTAAATTCTAAAAAGGGGGAAAATGAAATTATTCATTCCTATTTATTTAAAGATACACAACCTTATCTAAAATAAAATGACTGTAGATTAAACATTGCATCTTATTAAATTATAATGTTGTTGTTTTATCCAGCTTTATGTTGTATTTTGACTCCTGTTATTCAGCAATGTTTAAACTTTACAGTAATTTTACTTTTTAGAAAAGATTGCAAGGATTATTGTTCATTTTATTCTGAGCCTTTATTTGTCATTTATAAGGCATTTATAAAGCACAAATAGTCCTCATTTTAGATTAGGTCACAAAACTGCATGAAGTTGAGTTAATTAAGGATTTATTAACATATTGGTTAACTATTACTATTTGCCTGAAAAATAAGCTATAAAAATGTTGATTTCAATAGTTTATTAATCATTTACTAACCCATTCTGAATGATCCTAAAAACCCTCAACTACTCTTAAATACAACTGGTTTGTAAATAATGCAATACTTAATTTAGTCATGAAATATAAATCATTAACTAAATATGAAAATACAATTATTAAACTCATTATATAGGTGCTTATAAGTCAATAATACGTTTATTAATGTAGAATTAATGCTTAACAGAAAATGAATTCACTATTAGCTAATGTTTAGTAAATTATTTATAGTGTATAGTTATTATAAAGTGTTACCAAATATTCTTATTTTAAAGCGAAGATAAGTTTATTTTTCCACCTCCTTTAGCAGAATAGTTTATATAAAAAATACCTTTTTAAAAAACCTAACTCTAAGCTTTAATAACCAAGATTAGTAATATTAAAAACAATCATAATAATCTTACACAATCTAATCTTGCATAGTATTTTAACTCTTAAAACTAAATCAATAAGATTTGTTCTTTTTTCAACCTTTATTGTGGCTTTTGTTTTGTTTCTCAAATCTTCCATTTATTTCTGTTCGGCTTAGTCCCTTAGCCCCTTTTCCAGATCTTTCTGAATGAAATGCCTACTTAAATACATCCAATCAGCTTGCAGTAGAAAAACACAAGCTGTTTTCTCATTTAATATTCGAACTGCATCACAATATGGCTGTTTCTCAATATGCGTTCTTCAGCGGTCTTGCGTCCTCGTGTTCTCGTGCAACGTCATCATCAGCTGCCTAAGTTCAGTTCCAATACTCAAGACCGCAAGTACGGAGGACGCGTGAAACTTCCCGGATGTGATCTTGATATCGAGGACGCACTGATGCAGACTTGAGCACCGAACTCGCTGTGGAAGTCCCAGAAGTCATTGCGACTGGAGGTGGGAAGAGCAGCATTTTATTTAGATTTATTATTAAAGTTTAGAGATATCACTTATTTACCTCAGGAGTTTCCCTAAATGAAACGGTGAAAGTAAACATTACCATGGACATCTTAATAAAGGAATAAACACATTAAGGGTGTTTGTTTGCTGAAATTTGTATTAAAATCTGTTTTATTTATATTGTGCAGAGTATATTTATAATGTTTTTATGCAAAGTATATATTTTGAAGAGGGGGGAAACAATAAATCGTTGTATGAATGTTGTAATGTTTAAATAATTTCCATTTAAATCGCGTGAAGGTCACATGACCATCAGGAAGAATGCAGCATCCCATTTCTCAAGGGACGCGTTCTCTGCCCTCCCGGTCTCCTGAGTTCGTTCTTCCGAGGACACCTGGCAAGACCGGTCTCTACAAGAACGCAAGTCCATTCTCTGCGTTCTTGGAATTGAGAAACAGCCTATGAAAAAACAAACAAACAAAAAAACGGTCGCAGCGTCTGGTTCATGCGTACTTTAAAGTTTGAAGTGTGTTATTGTGATTCTGTGAAATATTCCACTTGCTTCTTGGGTGATTGATAGCTTAGTTTGCCTCACTATTTATCATCTCTGAATCTTACAATGTTACAACATAGTGATAAAACGGCAAGCTTTGATGAAAATCTGACCTTCTGTCATCTCTATGATCACAGTATTATCACTTAGGCTATGTCCTTTGATTGCAATTTGCATTTGTGATTAGCTGTCCCCCTTTCCCCATTGTCATTGAGATGAGGCTGACGCTCGTGTTATCTGCCCTGCTCCAGGCCTGCAGGGGATGAGCGTCTCGCTGTCAGGACAGTGGCTGTGTCACACACACCTCTATGACACTGATACCACAGCGGTAAACGGTGTGGCTGTGCAACTTGCTGAAATACAGTAGTAACTTATACAGGATTTCATGAAAATTACCTACTTTTTCAGGGAATTTTAGGTCAACATAACAATTTTTATTCTGCTAGCGTGCATGGATCCTCTTTATGCGAACAAATAATCCATTGAGCATTTGCTTCTGTGTTTGGAGTGCCCATCCTTCTCTGATGACATCAGTTTGATGCGTTAGCCACGACATTTTTAACCATGACCCTCTTACCGTTAGACTGCTATGGACCCACATTTCCAGGTTTCTCAGTAGCAGAATGCCATCCTGATTTCACGGCGGACATGTTCCTGGATTAATCGCTATGTTTATCCTGGAACATTTTCAAAATTATGTTTAACAGAGCAAGGACATTTTCACAGTATGTCTGATAATATTTTTTTCTTCTTTTTTTTTGTTTTATTTCAGCTAGAAAAAAAGATTTAAAAAAAATGTAAAGCCGTTTTAAGGTCAAAAGGATTAGCCCCTATAATTAAAGGGTTATGAAACCCCCTCGTTTCAGCAGGGTGTTTTCACACCTCTACTTTGGAAAAAGTCAGGAAAAGTGGGCGTGTCCAGCTCTGTTTAGGGGGGAGTGTCTGAGGAAGAAAAGAGGCTTGGTGTGGGAGTGTCTATTTGGGCGCGCTGAATTTCAGAGTCAAAACACACACACACAGGGGAGAAAGTGACTGTGTTTACATGGACATCTGTAGTCGAATTATTTGCCAAATTATTAAATGGTGGACTTTAACTGCAGTTTGGCTCTTTCATTCAGGTAATTCATTCATGTCCCTCGCGATTTTCATGCAATGTTTGATACCGCACGTTAAACTCAGCATTTCCCGGAAACTTAGATGCACTCGGCAGGTAGCGTTAGAAAGCCGCGTGTGTTATTCCGTTCACAAAATCCTACACGAGGTCATAGTTTGGTTGTAGTGCTAACTTGTTTACACTTGGTGCAATAGTTTTTTCGAAACGAATAAAATACGAACTGAATAAACAAAGAGCACTGGTCGGTCACTTAACAAATCTGTAGAGACAGGAGAATCCACAGCAACTACAGCCGCGTCTTCATTAAGAGAAGACTACAAGCGAATCCGGATGTCAGCGTTTGCAGATGGGAACAGCT